ACCTATTCACTGTACATTTGCGAACCGATTCCCTTGGATACACGAATTTGTTCCTCAAAATTGGCATACCACTTACGAGTATGCGGGGTGCAAAATCCCTTTAAGTGCACGTGCAAGGCACAATGCAATGCGCGCAATCAAGTGAAGGGAGGCACGCGCACAATAGAATCTATGAGCCAATGACTTGACTGTAACTAAATACTTATGTTAATAAAACATGAAATGAAACTATGATCCCAACACGAACTATGTGGGGGAAAAAAGAGAGTAAAGAAACGAACTCCAAAAGAAAGAAGTATTTAAATATTTTGTATGAAAAAATTATGAAAATGCATAATTAGCTTTCTAGTTTCTTTTCTACTATGTACTTTGGAAAACTTTAAACACACCCAATAATAAGTTACAACGTTCCATTAATCGAACTTATGTACCAAAACAAGCTAGAAGCTACCCCCAATTGAATCGAAATTTTCTAAGTGGCCAAATGCGTACCCGAATTCGTACCATGAACCGCTATATACAGCTTATTGTATAACTATGGATTTACTTGCATATTAAACGTCAGTGGCCAGCTTAAGGCTCATGGATAAATAAGGAAAGTTAACCCCTTTCTCATCTGAGAAACCAATGACTTTTGTAGCTTTGGTGAAGAGAGGAGAAGACAGAGCACCTGATGTGCCGAATGCTCTTCAGGTTATGAGTGAGTAGCTGTTTTTGGCCAATTTCATGCATAAGAAACAACAAACATAATGCAGACTAGTATGCAATAGAGCTCAAACTCACTTCCTTTTGTATCACGTGAACTGATACCAGACAAGCTTGCCACTGTGTTTTAAGGTTATCGAATGTGTAGGGTGGAAAACAAAAACGGTGTCCTTTTTCCCTCAAATTTGACACTGCCAAAGCATATAGTAAGATCGGAAATTCATACTTTTATTTTAGTATTCTTAGAAAACTTTTTTTATTTGTAGGCACTTTTAAGTGATTTCAATCAAATCATATTTCTCAGAGGACCCTGCCATGACACTAGAACTCTGAAAGTGATGAGAGTTGAGTGTTATAATTTTATATTCTTAACATGCCCCACAGGTTGAGGGTTCTTGTTATTGGCCAAAATGTCCGTCTGCTTTAAATTTGTGGCTAGTGACAATTTAACCTAGGTTACTCTGATACCATGTCGAAAGATCCTATCACGACGCCAAAACTCTGAAGTTGTGGTGAGGGTTGAGGCTTATAATTTTATACTAACAATGTTTAACCGTAAGGATCATCCATTGCTGTTGTAAAATATGAGATGGGATAATAGGTAAAAATAAAACCCTAACTGTAGGATTCTTGTCAAATCCTGTGTGTGTGTGTGTGTATAAGTTTTTCTTTGTCTGTTAATCATATTGATTTTGATTGTAGGTCTACAAAATATGATACTTGTTTGAATGTGGGAGGCTTGGTTGTTTATTCATTGATTGACATAGATTGTAGAACATGTTGGGGACATGAGCTATCTTGTTTTTTCTTACTTCAAATAATAGAAATCAAGATTCTTTAGCTTTTCCGTGAATCTTTTTCATTAGATGATTATTCTCTCTCATAGAAATGTTCTGTGCATACAAGTCTGTTAAAGTCACCTGTAAATTCACTCCAGCCATAGGCTAAGTTCGTTTTTATTTTCAATGTTTACTTCTTTTAGAACACCAAAGAATTTGGTTGTTAGTGGGCTTTAACATTTATTTTGTAGTAGCATTCTAAACCATGTTTCTCATTTATTTTGTAGAAGGAAAGGCAGGCATAGATATTGTGCCAGTTTTTATCTCAGTTGATCCAGAGAGGGACACTGTTGAGCAAGTCCGTGATTATGTCAAAGGTGTGCTCTTTTGTATCTCACATTTTTACAATTAATGCATAAAAATACAACAGTAGCTGTTACTCCTATTATCCTTAGTCACATGATCTGTTTGCATCTCCTCTGTTCTATGTTTAGCATCTTTTTTTGTCAAGTCTATTGAACAACCCTCTATTAAATGTCAATGAACTGGCATATCAAATTATTAAATCTGCTTTGTCATTGTTATATGTTGTATACTTTCATTTTATCTCACTCTTATGTTAATATGGTGTTATATTGATAACCATGCTTTCTGTCCTGCAGAATTTCACTCGGATTTAGTAGGATTAACTGGCACAACAGATGAAGTTAGACAAGTTGCTCGTGCTTACCGAGTTTATTATATGAAGACCGAAGAGGAGGGGTCAGATTACCTTGTTGACCACTCAATTGTTATGTAAGTTGGACCTAAAAACTTGCTACATATTTTTTGTTTCATGGCAACCTCCAATTTCATGGGCAGTTAAAAAACTTTCGGTAGCAACCTAAGTGAATTGAAACACACTCGAGAAACTGACACAGGTTGATTTCTTGCATGCTTGTACTCTTAAGCAATTTGAAATATATCTGCAAACATTCCTACACACTTTAGAGCAATTTTTTTACTGCACAATGTATGTTCATATTGTGTTTATTATATGTTTCTTTTCCATTGAACAAGTACTATCTACTGATGTTGTTTAGAAATTTTTACTCGAATTAGTTTACTGGTATCGGAACCATCATAATAGCTGCATTGTCCATGATAAGTTGGCAAGTTTATTAGCCAACCCTCGACACAGGTTTCAGCTTTGTCAGCCTGTGGTACAAGGAGCTAACAGTAATGTATACATTCCGATGGCTATGTCTAATTTGATAAGATATCATCTTTCAGGTACTTGATGGATCCGAACATGAAGTTCGTTAAATTTTTTGGTAAAAACCATGATGTTGATTCACTGGCTGAGGGCATAATCAAAGAAATATCAGAGCACAAAAAGCAAAAGAAACGATAGTGCGCTGGGCTTGTTCCTTAGATCTCCGTTTCGAAACATCGTTGTCCTTGTAAACCGTTTGTACTGTTTTCTTGAACGATGTGCGGCATAAATTTTTGATATTGCTGAGGAATCATCTTGCCAAGATAGTTGACACAGAACTGGCAAGTGAAAGGATATTATTAACAGTCCATAAAAATATAGAATGTTGCCAGCATGTATTGTTGCAACGATTGAGTTCATTATTTTCAGAACATCAATTTTGCAGTATTTGGGGCTATTTTAGGTACACTTAACCTACTTGTAATGGAGATGTTTTTTTCTTTGTAGGAACTTTTTGCTTGTCATAACTTTTTCTTTTCGGAACATCCATCAATTTTTGTTAATTTCAAGCAAATGCAAACTGGTTATGTGTAGTAAAAATATCATTGTTTTTATAATTTATAACCCATAGTTTTTGTCAATTTTGGTTAATTTTGAAGGAAAGCAAATTTATGGTTGTACATTAAAATCATGAAAATTGTTAAAAAGTTATGGTTTATAGCTCATGAAAATTATAAATTTTTACCTACACACAATAAATTTGCTTTTGTTTAAAATAAATTAAATTTGTCAAAAACCATGGATCATTACTTATAAAAATCATGATATTTTAAGCACACATAATAAATTTGTATTCGCTTGAAACAAACAAAACTAAACAAAAAGTGTGGGTTGTAACGAATCAAAAATCATGAAAACTATGTGTTATAGCTCATAAGTAACCATGAAACTTGTATTCATTCAAATCGATCAAAGATTATCAAAAATAAAAATCATGAAATGTCTAAAACATGCTCATTTCATGTAGGCATAATAAATCTGCAATTTTTCAAAACTAACAAATATTGATAAAATTCATGGATTATAGCTCTTGAATATCACAAAATTTGATGTATACATAATAAATTTGTATTTGTTAAAAATGAACCAAAATTAATAAAAAAGTAGTTTATAGCTCATGTACTCCGTGAATTTTGATGCACACGTTTAACATTTATATTCATTCAAATAGAAAAACCAGTGAGTTATAGAGTATATAAATTATGAATTTTGATGTATACATAATAAATTTGTCTTCATTGAAAACAAACAAAAAATCATGGGTTATAGGCTTATAGCTCATAAAACTCGTGAATTTTAATGTACACATAATACAATTGTATTTATTTATGATAAGCAAAAATTATAAAAAAAATCATGGATTAGCTCATGAAAGCCTTGAATTTTAATGTACACTTAATAAATTTGCATTTGCTTGAAATGAATAAAAGTTGATAAAATTTATTGGTTATAATTCATCAAAATAAAAAATTTGATATACACATATAAAATGGTTATTTGTTCTAAAGGAACAAAAATTCTCAGTACCATGGGTATCTTGTGGTTTTTGGGCATACTTCATCAGTCGAGAGGTGAACCCAAGAGCGAAATGTTCGGTCTGCCATTGGATCAGCGAACGCCATGCTGGTGTCCACCACATAATTGAAATGAGATCAAGCGTTTTGCTTCCTTTTTTTCTAGCAACCAATAAGGATCAGGAGGGTCAGACACTCCTCAAAACTAGCTCATATAAATTGTGATAATTAATGTATACATAATAAATTTATATTCATTCAAAACGAGCAAAACTTGAGAAAATTCATAGATTATAGCTTATAAACATGAAAATGTTAAGTACACATAATAAATTTGTATTCATTCCAAACGAATAAAAATTGTCAAAAACAGTGGGTTAGCTTATGAAAATTATAAATTTTGATGTACATATAATAAATTTGTATTTATTAAAATTGAACCAAAATGTGGTTTTATATCCCATGAACTTCGAGAGTTTTGATGCACAAATTTAAAATTTCTATTTCATTCAGGAAAAAATATAGTAGGTTATAGATTATGCAAATTTTGAATTTTGATATGCATAATATTATTGTCTTCACTGGAAACGAACAAAAGTAGTTAAAAATCATGGGTTATAACTCATGAAAATCGTAAATTTTAATATACACATGATAAATTTGCATTTGTTCAAAATGAGCAAAAATTGACAAAAATCATGGATTACAGCTCATGTAAACTGTGAATTCTGATGTACACTGAATAAATTTGCATCGCTAGAAATAAACAAAAATTGACAAAAATCATGGTTTATAGCTCATAAAAATTAAAAATGTTGATGTACACATATGAAATTTTTATTTGGTCTAAATGAACAAAAATTCTCAATACCCGCGGTTTACAACTTGTATAAATCGTGTACTTTGATGTACGCAAAATAAATTTACATTCATTCAAAACCAGCGAATTTTTCAAAATTCGCAGAGTATAGCTCATGAAATGTGAATTTTGATGTATGCATAACAAATTTACAATCGTCCAAAATGAACAACAATTGAGAAAATTTATGTTATAACTTATGAACATCAAAACTTTGATGTAACACATAATAAATTTGCATTCGTTCAAAATAAACAAAAACTATCAAAAAAGGTGGGTTATAACACATAAAATTGTGAATTTTGATGTACACAAAATAAATTTGCCTTCATTTAAAATTAATAATAATTGATAAAAAAATATTTGTTATGGCTCATAAAAACCATGATATTTCATGAATACATATGAAATTTGTATTTCTTTGAAATGAACAAAAATTATCAAAAACAATAGGTTTTAGCTCATGAAAATCATAAATTTTGATATATACACAATAGATTTATATTCATTCACAATAAGCCAAAATTGACAAAAAAAACATGGATTGTAGCTTATGAAAATCGTGAATTTTAATGTGCATATAATAAATCTACTTTTGTTCAAAACAAAATAAAATTGATAAAAATCATGGGTTAGAACTCATAAAAGTCATAAATTGTTATGCATACACATTCTATTTGCATTCGCATGAAATGAACAAAAGTTGACAAAAATCATGGGTTATAGCAAAGGAAAATCAAATTTTGATGTACGCATAACAAACTTTCTTTAGTTCAAAATGAACAAGACAGAAACCATGGATTATAGATTATAAAAATCATGATTTTTGACGCACTTATAATAAATTTGCATCTACATCTAACAAGTAAAAGTCGATAAAAATCATAATAAAATTTATGGTTTACAGCTCATGAAAATCATAAATTTTATACGCATATGAAACTTATATTTGTTCAAAACGAATAAAAATTAATTAAAATCATGGTCTGCAGCTCATGAAAATCATGAATTTTGATGTATACTTATGAAACTTGTATTTGTTTGAATCGAATAAAAATATTAAAAATTATGGATTATAACTTATGAAAATTGTAAATTTTGATGTACAAAAAAATTTATTCGTTGAAAATAAACAAAAATTATGAAAATTTTATGGGTTATAACTCATAAAAATCAAGATTTTCCATGTATACATATAAAAAATTGCATTTGCTTGAAATGAATAACAATTAACAAAAATCTTGATGTATAGTTCATAAAAATCATAAATTTTGATGTACATACAATATATTTTCTATTGTTCAAAATGAATCAAAATTGGAAAAATATGGATTATAGCTTATAACAATCATAATTTTTAAAGCGCACATAATAAATTTGCATTCACTAGAAATGAACAAAAACTAACAATAATAATGAGCTATACTCATGAAAAACATAAATTTTGATGAACAAGCATGAAATTTGTTATCATTCAAAATGATTTTTTTTTTAATTATGGGTTGTTGCTTATGAAAATTGTGAATTTTGATGTATACATAAAAAAGTTATATTTGTTCAAAATGAAAAAAAATTAACAAACACCTTGTCTTATAGCTCATGAAAATTGTTAATTTTGATGTATACATAATAAGTTTTTTATTTGTTGGAAATGGATAAAAATAGACAAAAATCATGGGTTATAGATCCTAAAAAGCATGAATTTTAATGTATCTATAATAAATTTGTATTCTCTTGAAATAAACAAGAATTGAAAGAAACCACAGATTATAGCTCATAAAAATCGCAAATTATACTGTACACGCTTAAAATTTGTATTCATTCAAAACGACCAAAACTTAAAAAAATAGTGGGTTAATAGATAATGAAAATTATGAATTTTTATGTACACATAATAAAAATGTAATTGTTTAAAATAAGTAAAATTAGCAAAAAATTATGGATTATAGCTTATAAAAACTGTGAATTTTGATGTACACATAATAAATTTATAATTTTCCAAATTGAACAAAAATTGACAAAATTTAAGGACTATATAGTTCATGCAAAGTGCAAAATTTGATGTATTCATAAAAAATTTGTATCCGTTCAAAGTGGACCAAAGTTTACACAATCTTAGTTTATAGCTCATGAAAATCACAAATTTTAATGTATTCATAATAAATTTGTATTCATTCTAATAACGTAAAATTGGTAAAAATTAAGGATTACATCTTATGAAAATCCTGAGATTTGAAGTACACATAATAAATTTGTATTGTCCAAAATGAATGAAAACTAACAAAATTCATAAGTGCTCAGCGAAATTAGAATTTTGATGTGAACATAAATTGGCAAAAATTGTGGGTTATTACTCATGAAAATAAAAAATATTTGTGCACATGTATGAAATTTGTATTCATTCAAAAAATAATAATTCTTAAAAATCATGGGTTATAGATCATAAAAATAATGAATTTTTATGTAAATAGAATAATTTTGCATTAATTAAAAATGAGAAAACTTATTAAAAATGAGAAAACTTATTAAAAATCATGGATTATAGCTCTTGAATTTATAGCACACAAAATAAATTTTTATTAATTCAAAATGAGTAAAAATTAAAAAAATTATGGATTATAGCTCATGAAAATAACAAAAATTTGATGTATACATAATAAATTTCATTTGCTCAAACAAACCAAAATTGATAAAAAAAAAATTTACGATTTATCACCAATAAAAATCATAAATTCTGATGTACTATAAAGTTCCATTCCTTCAAAAGGATCTAAAGCTGACAAAAATTATAGTTTATAGCTGATGAAGCCAATGAATTTTGTATACGAAATAATTGCTCAAAATGATGAAAAAGTAACAAAATTTCTTGGGTTATAGCTTATGAAAATCACAAATTTTATGCACATATAATAACTTTGCATTCGTTCAAAATTAAAAAATAATCAATAATTATAGGTCATAGTTCATGAAAATCATGAATTTTACGTACATATAATAAATTTGTTTGTGCTCTAAAAAGTAGAAATTGACAAAAATCGTGTGTTATAGCTCATGAAAATTATAAATTTTGATG